TCCGTGTCTCCCCATTCACAGAATCACACACTCCACTCCCTAGACTACACCCAGTTAGTAACGCCACACAACAACAGCCTCCCAGTCTCCCAGAGGCCTGTGCTAACCACCCAGATGAAGAACAGGAACTACGATGTAACCCTCAGTGCCGATGAGCAACTCTGACGAAGAAAGCTGCAGCTATGGCTGCAGCGCCACTGTAGATGCCACGCACGATCTCAGAGGAAGATGCAGCAGCAGTGGTCTACCTACGAATACCATGCAGAGCCTCAGAATAGCCCAGCCGATCGCAAGCACCCGCAGGGGTGGATGCTCAGAGGACGCCCCAGCTATGGCGAGCTCCAGAAGGCTGGCTATGGCTGCTGTCCGCGACGAAGGTCTCAGGATGCCGCCTGTAGACAATCGTCTCCACTGTACTTGCTTGGCTCAGAACGCTGTCACGTGAAAAATGAAAACAGCCAAAAGTCCTAACCCTAGCGACCTAGATCTATTAAGAGACTAACCTCGACCTAGACACGGATTGGACCAACCAGTACCGTTTCAGTTTGGGCCTCTAGGGCCTCTACCTACCCGGCTATAGGCTCTCATACTACGGGCCTAGGCCCTAGGGCCCCCCGTCCTAGTGATAGCCCGGGCCTGCTATTCGCAGTGCGGTCTAAGGGAACTGCGGGCCTGTAGTTGTCCCGAAATTGCAAATATGTCCCTCACGAATTTCCCTCAGCACTGAACTCTCCGTTAGTCCCTGACACAAACAAAATTACGAATCTAACCCTACCACTGTTACTGTACAGCCTCACAGTTAGATCTCGGCAGTCAAAATCAGCAAGTCATTGCAGTATTGCCTGTTGCTTCTGGTGCGAGAGCCAGGCGAATAAGACTTCAGATTGCAATGTCAAATGCACCCAGCCGCGGCAAGGTGAGACCCGCATGCGAAACTGAACACCACAGGGGGTGGTGTGACTGCATCCTCTACGCGCATTGGAGACAACTGCCTTGCAAGCAGCCTCCCTTGTGCCCACGGTACATGCGGAAGCCATTAGTTCTCTGCTTTCTTCTGGTATGGTCCCGCTGTTGGCCGACCCTATCCATGCACAAGACTCCCTTGCTTGTGCATTTTCCAATCCATCGGTTCACGACTGTATTTCTAGGTCTTCCTCTTCTTCTTCGGATGATTTGGCGATATCTATTGCCCTCGGACTTCGCTTCAATGCCACTTCCCCGCAGAGATCGCTTACCGGGGCTGCACTGTATCGCGGTTCGGGAACATTGGCACGAGTACTTCTCGTATCCGCCACCAACTCCGTCTTTGGAGACCGAAGTTGCAGCAGCCAATCTTCATATTTATAATGCAAACGTCAAATGTGAGTTTTGGAAACAGCGGTATGGAAACAACAATTGTCCAGTAACGTACATTCGCATTCAAATTCGTCAGGCGTCCTACAGCGCCTTGATTGATTGCGATGCGACTCGTAATTACGTCAGACGATCATTTTTGCACCGCGCTTGTTTTTAATATTATTCAATATGATCCTCTGTATGCCTGTGGCTTCGCTGCAAGGATCACCCAATTTGCTTCCACCTCCTGATATTCATGGTTCGCAAAAATCGCAATGCTTTTGGGCAGTTAGCCCCTATACTGTTCCTCCACCTTACTCTTCTATCAGTCTTTCACATTATTGCAACTTTCCACAAGTTTTTCAGCGACTCACGCACACCCGCAGCTTGCGGAGATCGGTGTTTGTTCTCTTCAAGCAGTTTACGTCTGACGTTGCTGCCTTCATCTGCATGCCTTTCTGCTTGCAACTGAGTCCAAAGCAGATTACGACTCAAGGCACCCTAAGCAGATCCTGCAGACTGTCGAGGGCTCAGTCACCTGATGAATCAGTGGGAGTCTGACAGAAGTCCCTTCTGTCCTTCTTTTCCGTGTTACTCAACTTCTTCTTCTTGCACTCTGCGAGTCTGCATCACATTCTTTAGTATCTTTACACAGTTTTGCAAACCCCTTTTACCATGCCATGATGATTGCAATGGAATTCTCCGGCGGAAACAAATCTGGTTATTGTCAAAAGCAATCTGTCATAACTGCATCCCCCCTGTTCTCAGAGCCAAAGAGTACACGGACAACCATGGTGTCGTCTTTGGTTGTCTGCCATGCACAGCATCACAGACCCTCTCTCTCTCTCTCTCTCTCTCTCTCTCTCTCTCTCTCTCTCTCTCTCTCTCTCTCTCTCTCTCTCTCTATGTGTCTCTGTCTGTCTGTCTGTCTCTCTCTCTCTCTCTCTCTCTCTCTCTCTCTCTCTCTCTCTCTCTCTCTCTCTCTCTCTCTCTCTCTCTCTCTCT